GACCTCAGGCCCCCGTTTGCAGGATATATGCGGATCTCGTTTCGGCTCTATTTCGTTCTTGTCTGCAGCTCAAGAGAGCTTGCATGGGATTACTTTTAGATCCCTTCCTTCTTTTCCCCCTATCCATGGGGTTCAAAGTCGTTGTTTTTTGCTTTTTTTGTTGCACGATTACTCGACGCTGTTCGAAATAAGGAAGGGTTCATTTTGGCCTAGATAAGAAGACCGTATTTGGAGCAGTATATACAGAGGATGAATTCTGCAGGCTTGTTGGGAATAAGTTTCGCGATGGTGCTTTAAAAGCTCCTTCAGCTGCAAGGCATTTTAATTCAAGGATGGGGTTTTGGATCTTCTTATCTCCTTTACATTTAGCTGGAATACACTTTTCTTAGTTGTTTAGAATTTAGAGAAGGTCTCATTTCATAGCGCTCATGACCAAGACGGTAACAGTCACAAAATATCATTGTCTGAGACGGAATTTTTTCACAACGGCGAAAAAAATCCATTGCCGGGACCCAGTACTGAAGCGGAAAAAAATTGAAAAATATGAACTTGACATATTTTTGCTTTTGAATTTATTTCAGATGCTTCATACGTGTATGTTTTTCGCAATGAATGCTGGTTTAATTACGGGAGGATCCCACTATGATTTGTTTACGGCGTGATAAGGAAAATGAATTAGACGAGCGAATTTTATGAGCATTAATTTGGAGAAGAAAATTTGTGCATGTCCGATCCAGGGATTCATTTATGTTGGCAATGCGCAGAAATCCCTTTGCCAAACCTGATTTCGAAGTTCTGTCGATGAACGGAGTGTATTCTGTCAAATATGCTGAAAATATTTTCCAGTAACTTCTTAGTCATTCGACTCAATTAAATTTCGGGCTCACGCTCTTCCTGCTTTTTCTATTAAAGCAAAAAACATTTGAACCCTCGCGTTTTATTTTCTCAGTTTTTGTTTTGTTTGAGGGTCCAAACTGAGCCCGAAAGCATTGCATTATTTAACCTTTTGTGCTGCCCGAGCACGATTAGATCTGAGGGATGCAAATTTCGACGTCAGTTTTACTAAATTTCCATTTTGTTGATGAATTAATATCAATTCAGTACATCAGCAGTTATCCCCAGATAACCAGGACAGACTGCCGCAAATTAGGTGACGTGAGTAGAAAAGTTTATGACTTTGAGGATTTGCATGTCCCAGGATGGTCATGTTGAGTTCTCCGTAATTATTCCAGATTTAAATATCACAAGTGAAAGACCCCTTTTTATTCGCAAAAAACGGGGCAATAATATCTTCAGTCGGATCAAACTAATGTGACGTGTTGTGCTTCAACATTGATCACTCAGACAGATACACACCTAAGCTAAAATTAATGTTCTTGCAAACGCACATTTCTTTTCGTGCTCTACGAACATGGTAATATGTCGTCGCAATTTGCGTCAGCTCGAATGGCATGCAAATTTATTTCTGCCTACTTTTTATCTTTGGGGACGGAAATTGAAGTAGACCCTATTTCTTTGTTAATGAAACCCATTCCATTATCTGGACTTCTCTTTTTTTGGGGTGGTTCTCACGAGAATGGAGCTCAAATGCTCACCCGGCCGTGTTTTTACCCCGTCGATTTTGTTTTTCGCTCAGACCCCGGATATATATTTCTTTTTCGGGCCTCTCCGATCTGTTTCTACTTCCTTGGTAAGGAAAAGGCAAGACGAAACCCACCCCCCTACCAAAGGGGCGTTTTCCGACTCTATATAGCAGAAAAAGTGGTGGTCTTTTTATTCAGACGAACTTCGAAGCTGGAAGAAATTCATCCCCGCAATGCTCAGGATAACGTCTTCTGTTGAGCAATGATTTCGAGTGGATAAACTTTCCGAATCTCCTTATATTTTAGTTTTCTTTGACGATAAAAAAAAAATCTTTTCTGTTCTCCCGTACGAATAAACCTGGGTTCGAACGATTTCTCCTCGTTCAACCCACCGAATATTCTAAAGAACTTCTTTTCTTTTGCAGAAAATAAAACCGGTTTGAACACACAGCAAATGAGACGCAATGAAAGTACTCATGAAGAGAATTCTTCGCATTTATTTATTTGCTTTCAACGTTTTACGCAATGCGTTCCAAAACTGACTCATTTCTAAGGTCATTATACTTCCCTAAACTGAACTCAATTTTTTTTACCATGCCCAGCAGATTCAATGAGTTTACTACTTTCAGAACGTTTGCAAGGAAATTTTTGCTAAACTAATTAATGCCTTGCGAAACTTAAAGTTCCAATATATATATAACAACAGGCGGAATAATTATTCTGAATTTCTGTTAGATTGAATCGGCAGAAATACAATACGATTTCGATCTCAGTTCTAGAAAGATTTAATCAACAGATATAATGTAATCTTTGCGAAATGACAGAAGAACGTCTTCCGGCAATTTGATTTAAAAACTTTTCTGGGTGCTATGAGGAGGATATTTTTAAAATGGCTAATATTCATGATAATATTTTAAAACATCATTATGAAAAACAAGATTTTTTCAATGGCTTATTGTCGTTATTCCTAGAAACACGGACCCTACTTCTTTTTTTCAGCAGAATCGAAATGTAAAATTTGATGGACAAAATTACTTTCTTGACTTGCTACGCTTCAAGGGAGAAAAACAATATCGGAGTCTGTGCTGGGTGAAGTGCAAACCTTCAAAGTATTTCGCAAGAACTTTTTCTGTGCATCAATGGGGGGAATCCTGGAGAGATCCTCGAGTCTGGCACTGCTAGAAAGGATCCCTTCCACTGAGGAAACCTCTAAATTAAAGTACGACAGTGAGACAAATTCTAGCTTAAACTTGTAAAACTACAATTTTTTTGAAAATTTAGTGAAGTTTCCGCCGCTCTTTGAAAATTATCTGAGAATACTGTACCTGAAAATTTCCTCAACCTCGTTGGTGTTACATTTTTTTTTATCTCTTGTCGGCTTCTTGAATAGGAATCATTGACGAAACCAATCAACGAGGCCTGGAAAAAGAATGCAGAAAATTCAGAATTGTGAATCTTTGTAAGTTAAAAATAATTCATTGTTTGGACATAGCATCAAAAGTTGAATAAAAATGTCCTTCTTCGATATAGAGTATATAGTATATAGCGGAAAAGGAAATCAAAGAAAATTGCATAAAAATGTAACGTGTCTCATTTTCAGCAGCCCCATATTATTCCCTGAAGCATCGCGTGTCACGCATTTCCTCGCAATATAAGAGCAAAATGTAAATAAGCCAGCAATCGCCGTAATTGAGTCCACTGGGTTACCGTCATTAGGGAAACAAGACGCTGGAATAATGAGCCCCGTGTCCCGCGAGACTTTGACTTGATTTACTCTGAAGGAAACCCATTGTTTAGGCACTTTAGGGACAATCTGGGTCCATCAGGGGTGGCCTGAGCTGTGCTGTGGATGCCATTTAGGGGACATTGATCGTTTGAATGGGGCCGGCGGGTTGATTGCCGCCAAACGACGTTTGCACAAATCCTCGTGACCGACAGTTTGCCGATCTTTGAAACCTTTCTCGTGATGGTTTTCTGAAGCTGTTGCACTCATCTGCCAACTACAGCATTGTAGAATTAAAACATACCAGACAAATTCAACTTTACGCCAAAGAATCTCTATATATACAGAAGTATGAATAAAGTCTACAGGTATTCTCATTTTTGATCCACGGAGGTCTCTGTCAGTCGTTTGCAATCAATGTCAAATTTCATGCGAGTTTCATGCGATTGAACCCAATAATAAATGACGGCAGTGCTAAAATCAACGCCAAAGAATCTATATATACAAAGTATTACTAAAATATATTTTTAATTTTGATTCATATCCAGAAGTTTCCGTGATTCGTTTGCAATCAATGTGTCATATTTCATGGGAGTTTCATGCGATTAAACCCGATAATTGACCACAGGGCTAAAATGAATGCCAAAGAATCTCTATGCACATATGAAAAGTTGGAATAAAATCTACTTTCATTTTTTATTCACAGAAGTCTCTGTGAGTCGTTTGCAGTCAATTTAATATTTCGCGGGAGTTGTATGCGATTAAACCCGATGATTGACCACAGTGCTAAAATCTTCACACAGCTCTTGCAACTGAGCCCTATTCTTACAATCTGCATGATACCAGGACAAACCCAGCATAATTCCAGATGAACCCCTCTAAACCTCAACACGAGCAAGAAGATCATGCAAAAACAAATACAGCAGAGAAGTGTCTGATCATTTCCCAGAAAATATGGTAACTCCAGAAGAATAAATGAAATCCGAACTCGCATTAATGCAGGCAAAAGTGCACATGGTGGAATAATGGATTCCTCCCAAGTATTAGTAGTAGATCACATGGTATTTGATCAGTGCAAAAGATCGGATTCCAGTCACGAGCCAATAAAAGGAAAACCCGACAGGCATTAATTCACACTATGCTGCTGGTCCACCACGGAATCCGCCCTAATGAGCTCCTCTTCCTGCTGGCCGTTCCTTCTGAGCACGTGTATAATCTTTATACCGGTGGAATAATCATGACGGAAAATGAATTTATTTTTTCGTCTGTCTGGCTTCTTTTGAAGTCCTCACCCGCTGATCTCGCGAAATTATGCAGGGAAAAGCGCGTATATCGAAGTCTTGCATATTTTTCATTATGCGTTTGCCCCTCGAAACCTAACCGGCGTGAAATTAACGCGTCCAACTGAGAGATTTGAAATTTTCTCGTTTCTTTTCCGGGTTTAAAAGCCGCTGCGTACGATAAAGCTATGAAAGCTTCGAGATTTGAAATTATTCCAAATCTAGTCATGTTTGAATTTTAAATAACGTCAATCCTTCAATTTTTTAAAATATATATTACAAGGCGTGAGAACAGCACGCTGACAGCATTGGTTTTCACGTGGGCGGGCCTGATAATCTATTTTGCCCTCTGCTGCTCACTTGAAAGCAGCATAAGTTGATGTCACTCGTGGGATCGAACGAAGGGACACAGACATGGCTGCTAAAATACTCTTATCGCAGGGTTACGCAATCGAATGGGATTTTGTTGAAGAAAATCTATGCAACGACGAGAAAGACAAGCTTCTCTCAGATAAGAACCCTTCCAGCAGGAAGATGCGTGGAACGACGCCCTTGGTACTCGTACTCGTTCTGCTATTCGGGCTCGGACGCCAATTTGGAAAGTGCAATGTTTTCCAAAAGGATGTGAAAGAGCAGCATGCATCATCAGTAAATTAACGAGAGGAAGAAAATATGAATTTAATGTTCTGCATAACCTACTTTAATGCGAATATACTCGTACATGCTTGGTTTATGCGAGAAATCAGAGAATTTCGCCAGGTGAAAATATCAATCTAAAAAATTCGGATTATACAAGAATGCAAGCTGCGAAAATAAATCTTTTGAATGCAGACACGAATCAAAAACGTAATTTTTGCACGGTTTTTCTAGATGACCCACATTTTGAGAGTCGATGAAAGCAAAAATTTGATCATCAGCCGAGAAAATTTTTCAACTTTTTTTGAAAAAATAGCAGCGTTTGCATCCTCAAATCCAAAAATTGCATGTGGTCTTTGAGCTATTCATCTACAGATACTTGCTCTAGCGAGTGTATCATCTTGTTAACATCGTTGAGATCTTGAAAACTGAAAAAATCATAAAAGACATTTTCATTTCGTTCAATTTCAACCTTCAAATTAGTGGAAAATTATCTCAAACGTTTAGGTCACATTTTCTCAGTAAGTTTTGCGTGTTTGTGATTAACTTGGCTGCACTAGCTTTTTTAAATTTAAATTGAGCAATTGGAGATCATTAGGCCAATATCCGTGGAAATCCAATGCCAACATTCCTTTGGAACATTCAGTCGTTGTTTTCAAGCAGTCGGAACTCAAATAGGAATCTGGAAATACTTCAGACATATGCAGTATGTCTGGCTTTAAAGTCAAATGGAATCAAAAATGATTTATACAAACATATTCGCCAAGAACCTCACCTACACTGAATTTTCATGTGCTCAGGCGGAATCATTTTGACCTATTTTATTAACGGGATAAGATCGCGGCAAGAAGTAAATTTATTCCTTGAGGAGCAGTTCAGTTATTCAACTGGAAACTATATATGAGATCGTTTTTTTTTCGTGTTTCCGACAGAAGCAAGCTTGAATGAGACCTGTGTTGCGTCAGAACAGTGCAGCGCAAAGGAGAAACAATCCTTCTGTTACATTCCGAACGAGCAAGACAATGGGCACTGCGAATGTTACCGAGGTTATCATGCCTTGTTCCAGGGGAAAAAGTCCTGGTGCATTCGTGACCACGGTGAGAAACTTAAACTCATTCATTGTTATAACTTTATATTTTTTTCTCCTGAGAGGTATTGCCTTGCATNATGGGAGTTTCATGCGATTAAACCCGATAATTGACCACAGGGCTAAAATGAATGCCAAAGAATCTCTATGCACATATGAAAAGTTGGAATAAAATCTACTTTCATTTTTTATTCACAGAAGTCTCTGCGAGTCGTTTGCAATCAATTTAATTTTCGCGGGAGTTGTATGCGATTAAACCCGATAATTGACCACAGTGCTAAAATCTTCACACAGCTCTTGCAACTGAGCCCTATTCTTGCAATCTGCATGATACCAGAACAAACCCAGCATAATTCCAGATGAACTCTTCTAAACCTCAACACGCGCAAGAAGATCATGCAAAAAATAATACAGCATAGAAGTGCCTGATCATTTCCCCGAAAATATGGTAACTCCAGAAGAATAAATGAAATCCGAACTCGCATTAATGCAGGCAAAAGTGCACATGGTGGAATAATGGATTCCTCTGCAGTATTAGTAGTAGATCACATGGTATTTGATCAGTGCAAAAGATCGGATTCCAGTCACGAGCCAATAAAAGGAAAACCCGACAGGCATTAATTCACACTATGCTGCTGGTCCACCACGGAATCCGCCCTAATGAGCTCCTCTTCCTGCTGGCCGTTCCTTCTGAGCACGTGTATAATCTTTATACCGGTGGAATAATCATGACGAAAAATGTATTTATTTTTCGTCTGTCTGGTTTCTTTTGAAGTCCTCACCCGTTGATCTCGCGAAATTATGCAAGGAAAACCGCGTATATCGAAGTCTTGCATATTTTTCATTATGCGTTTGCCCCTCGAAACCTAACCGGCGTGAAATTAACGCGTTCGACTGAGAGATTGGAAATTTTCTCGTTTCTTTTCCGGGTTTAAAAGCCGCTGCTACTATAAAGCTATGAAAGCTCCGAGATTTGAAATTATTCCAAATCTAGTCATGTTTGAATTTTAAATGACGTCAATCCTTCAATTTTTTAAAATATGCATTACAAGGCGTGAGAACAGCACGCTGACAGCATTGGTTTTCACGTGGGCGGGCCTGATAATCTATTTTGCCCTCTGCTGCTCACTTGAAAGTAGCATAAGTTGATGTCACTCGTGGGGATCGAACGCGAAGGGACACAGACATGGCTGCTAAAATACTCTTATCGCAGGGTTACGCAATCGAATGGGATTTTGTTGAAGAAAATCTATGCAACGACGAGAAATACAAGCTTCTCTCAGATAAGAACCCTTCCAGCACGAAAATGCGTGGAACGACGCCCTTGGTACTCGTACTCGTTCTGCTATTCGGGCTCGGACACCAATTCGGAAACTGCAATATTTTCCAAAAGGATGCGAAAGAGCAGCATGCATCATCAGTAAATTAACGAGAGGAAGAAAAGATGAATTTAATGTTCTGCATAACCTACTTTAATGCGAATATACTCGTACATGCTTGGTTTATGCGAGAAATCAGAGAATTTCGCCAGGTGAAAATATCAATCTAAAAAATTCGGATTATACAAGAATGCAAGCTGCGAAAATAAATCTTTTGAATGCAGACACGAATCAAAAACGTAATTTTTGCACGGTTTTTCTAGATGACCCACATTTTGAGAGTCGATGAAAGCAAAAATTTGATCATCAGCCGAGAAAATTTTTCAACTTTTTTTGAAAAAATAGCAGCGTTTGCATCCTCAAATCCAAAAATTGCATGTGGTCTTTGAGCTATTCATCTACAGATACTTGCTCTAGCGAGTGTATCATCTTGTTAACATCGTTGAGATCTTGAAAACTGAAAAAATCATAAAAGACATTTTCATTTCGTTCAATTTCAACCTTCAAATTAGTGGAAAATTATCTCAAACGTTTAGGTCACATTTTCTCAGTAAGTTTTGCGTGTTTGTGATTAACTTGGCTGCACTAGCTTTTTTAAATTTAAATTGAGCAATTGGAGATCATTAGGCCAATATCCGTGGAAATCCAATGCCAACATTCCTTTGGAACATTCAGTCGTTGTTTTCAAGCAGTCGGAACTCAAATAGGAATCTGGAAATACTTCAGACATATGCAGTATGTCTGGCTTTAAAGTCAAATGGAATCAAAAATGATTTATACAAACATATTCGCCAAGAACCTCACCTACACTGAATTTTCATGTGCTCAGGCGGAATCATTTTGACCTATTTTATTAACGGGATAAGATCGCGGCAAGAAGTAAATTTATTCCTTGAGGAGCAGTTCAGTTATTCAACTGGAAACTATATATGAGATCGTTTTTTTTTCGTGTTTCCGACAGAAGCAAGCTTGAATGAGACCTGTGTTGCGTCAGAACAGTGCAGCGCAAAGGAGAAACAATCCTTCTGTTACATTCCGAACGAGCAAGACAATGGGCACTGCGAATGTTACCGAGGTTATCATGCCTTGTTCCAGGGGAAAAAGTCCTGGTGCATTCGTGACCACGGTGAGAAACTTAAACTCATTCATTGTTATAACTTTATATTTTTTTCTCCTGAGAGGTATTGCCTTGCATTCAGGATTTTTTTCTTCGTGATATTTCTACAGGATATTGTGGTTTCACACGAGGCGAAAAAAAATCGTCCGACGCAAGATTTCATTTATTTTCCGGAAATAAAAGTATATTTTCTGTTTTCAAATTAGGAAATATTTATATTGATTGTTTCCCTTCTTTGCAAAATATATATAATTTGACGTCGTACAGTATTCTGATTCCTGCCCTGTCTAACTGGGAAAATCAAAGGCATTCTGTATATAAAAATGTGTCATCAAGCCGTTTTTATGTTTTATATTCCAAATAAATGTTTAAAGAAGTCCGTTCAAAAAGGGAATTTTCGAATATAAACTTACCCATTTCGAGTCCATTTTTAAATAATGAATTTTCGAATATAAACTTACCCATTTCGAGTCCATTTCCATGTGGTTTTTTCTGCGTCGAACAAAATTACTGCAAAATCAAGCTGATTTTTATTCTCGCCAAATTGTTCGTACTTTGAAGTAATGTGCTCAGGCGGAATCATTTTGACCTATTTTATTAACGGGATAAGATCGCGGCAAGAAGTAAATTTATTCCTTGAGGAGCAGTTCAGTTATTCAACTGGAAACTATATATGAGATCGTTTTTTTTTTCGTGTTTCCGACAGAAGCAAGCTTGAATGAGACCTGTGTTGCGTCAGAGCAGTGCAGCGCGAAGGAGAAACAATCCTTCTGTTACATTCCGAACGAGCAAGAAAATGGCCACTGCGAATGTTACCGAGGTTATCATGCCTTGTTCCAGGGAAAAAAGTCCTGGTGCATTCGTGATCACGGTGAGAAACTTGAACTCAGTCATTGTTATACAGTAACTTTATATTTTTTTCTCCTGAGAGGTATTGCCTTGCATTCAGGATTTTTTCTTTGTGATATTTTGACAGGATATCGTGGTTTCACACGACGCGAAAAAAAATCGTCCAACGCAAGATTTCATTTATTTTCTGGAAATAAAAGTAGATTTTCTGTTTTCAAATTAGGAAAAATATATATTGACTGTTTCCTTTCTTTGCAAAATGTGCATATTTTGACGTTGTAAACTATTCTGATTCCTGTCTGTCCAACTGGGAAAATCAAAGGCATTCTGTATATATAAAAATGTGTCATCAAGCCGTTTTTATGTTTTATATTCCAAATAAATGTTTAAAGAAGTCCGTTCAAAAAGGGAATTTTCGAATATAAACTTACCCATTTCGAGTCCATTTTAAAAAAATGAATTTTCGAATATAAACTTACCCATTTCGAGTCCATTTCCATGTGGTTTTTTCTGCGTCGAACAAAATTACTGCAAAATCAAGCTGATTTTTATTCTCGCCAAATTGTTCGTACTTTGAAGTACAGTACATTTTTGGCTGCCCGAGAATCTTGCTTCCTTACATTTCAAAAATCTAGTATTGAATCAGCGTACTCCTAGGCTATAGTAGCTGTCCTGAAAAAAAGGAATTTTTACAAATCAGAAGGCTAGAACAGCTCATTCCCTTGGGCACAGCGACGCCCGAATGACATTTGCATGTACTCTCTTCCACACTCGTATATATATATGTATATATATACAGGGCACAATGATGAGCTGTCTGTGGAGGGTCGATACTACCCGTAGAACACGCGTAACTATGAGTACAAACAGTAGTATACGTAGCACGACGCCTACAAGAGGTTCACTCAACAAACGACGACATAACTTAATTAAGCTCTGAAGCCAAGGTACTCATGCAACTGAATCAGATGTCGGAATATCGCTGCAGAGTTATGCGTATGTAGCACAGGGAACCCGGGATTCTGTTGCGATAAGAAAGTAAACAATCCCTGGGAAAAGTGTGAGATTCTTTTTTTCCCTTCCTCCTTTATCTTTTAAAATGCTGGGGAATTCGTTTCAAATCTGTCCAAGTCTGGCTTCGTTTCTCGTCAGTCATTTTGAGCCTGTCCTGTCTTATTCCGTGGCGACGAGTATATTGAGAAAATCGTGACGCCTTCGATCTACCAGATTCATTTTTTGGGAGAATTTAAACAAAAAAAAGTCATTAAGATAATTCTTGAGACGAGAAAATGCATATTTTAAAAAGTAAGTTCTGAAATTTATAGCATTGAATGAACCAATTTAGTTGTTTTTCAACAATATGGATTTGTATTAAGTACGGACTATAAATTCGGGAGTAAGGTGGTTATAAATTGCGGTTAAAAGACTATTTATTACGCGAAAACATACTTGGTCAAGTCTACCACTTGTAAAAGTTCTAAAAAGACTTTGTGGCTTTTTGGGAAAGTAAAAAAAAGGAAAGTTTAAAATCTACGTTTTATAGATCAGTGTTCCTCAACCCATGGAAGTTTTCATCAGTCCGCAGGAAATTTTTCCAGCATGATCATGAAGTTTATCAGCAATACATGAGGTCTGTTATATTTATTAAAAATTTTGGAAGGACTGGCAGTTGAAATTATACAGTGAAAAATAAAGATTGGCTTTTCTCGATAATACTTCAGAGAAATTTTCATCTGCTGAAATAAATTATTTTAATTTTTCATTCTGAGGAACTTTTCTTCAAGACCACCTCTCGAATTCTTTTCGACACATTCTAATTTAGCTGCTTCATTGGTTTTCAACTTAATTTTACAAAAAGTAGAAACTTCTTAAATGTCTTTCATATCATGAAGTCTTTTCACACAAAACGTTTTTGGTTCTGCAGCAAAAATCACATGAAACCATTGCCGGTCCTCGGAAATATTTTCTGGCAATTTGGTGGTCCATTGGAATAAAAAGGTTAGGGAACACTGCTGCAGACAATAATTTTTTTCTCTCAATTTAGAAGTGCGGGGAAGTGAATCCTGAAGAAACTTGAAAGAAAAAATGGAGCAATGATGGGAAGTCCTTTCGGGGTTGCACATCAAATTTACAGCGACCCTCCTTCCATTCTTTAATTTAATAAGAGTGTAGCCCCTCAAAAATGTACGCCCTCATTATAGACATAAAAAAATCCAAAACGAAAACCAATTTGTGTCTTAAATTCGATGAGGTCGTCTTTCCGAAAACGCATCTAAGTCTATGATGCGATGATCGCCTCCAATAAACTAGCGCGGCCATTTTGACGGAAATCGTCTCATCCGACCTATTCAATAAAATTTTATTCATACCGTCGTATTGTACTGTACTCGGCCTCTTCATTTGTTGGATACGAAAATAAAATGAAGATAGCGAATGTCTTTGATGTTCACGATGAAACAGGCAGCGTTTTCGGGAGCAGAGGACCATTTTCAACACGCCAAACCCACGGCTGATGAACACGAGCCTGCTGCCAGTCGGCAATGCCAAGCACGGAAGTCGCCACGGCAGCTCCATGTCTTTGCAGCACCAAAAGTCGCACAATGGGTCCAATAAAGGTAAACCCCCCGGGGCGGCGGACTGGGCCAGTCCAACCCACTTTGATCCTCATCATCCTAAATTTTTTAAACATTTTAAGTACGCACGATCTATTTAATTCCCTGGCTGTTGCAGGTATTCTTCAATCTTGTTTCTTTCCTCCTATGTAGATTGTGTAAAATATTGGGTTGCATGATTCCAATTGGTGTAGCTTATAGAATTTTTTAGAACCACGCAGCTGAAAGGGAGCTGATTTCTGCGAAAATGTTTCACGATTCGATGCGTCCCTTCAGTTATTTCAAAATTGTGAGTCATCTCACATAATATGGATACAGGAATCTTTAAACTAATTCTACGCCAATTTTATTCAAGTTTACGTCACATTAACTTTTTTCAGTCCGCTGGGATTTCGGTTTTCGGCCTTTTTATCACACGGACTTGATGAAATTTCATTGCACGTTGTCAAAAAGAATAGAGATTGGTCGGAAGAAAATCAAGGGGTAATTTAAATTTAATTTTATTTATTTCATTTAATTCTTATGGTGCATTTTGAAATCATTTATGATCGGAGTGCACAGCAATTGTCTCCAACCGACGTGCATATTTTTATGAAATTTTGAGAGCATCAATATCGAATTATTCCTTTGTATCATTCTCAGCCAACCGGTAGAAAAAATTTCGATCTTGATTTTTTGCATCAGGAAGTGATTGATGAAGTTAAGCAAATAATTACAGCATGATACTAGTGAATTTATTGGCATATTTTTGCTTGAATAAAGGCTTCTTAAATTCGCAAGCATTTTTCCACTTTTTTAAATCTTGAAAATCGGAGGTCTATATTAAAATCAATTTCGTCTTCTGTCACAGTAAATGCAATCGATATATGAAAAATATAACTTTTTATACTGTATGATTGGGATAATGGTACTGTAATTGACTTTCGTTGCGTGCGAACTGTCACGATAACTAATGCATGAAAATCGCCAGAGACCTTTTTTGGGAAGGAAGCTTCGCACGTCATCATTCACATATAGGCAGAATTTCAGAGACAATCTGCAGATTTTTCAGTCGTTCGCAGAAAATACGCATTCGTTTTGGTTTCATTTCCGAGCGACTCACTTTTTTGTTATTGAGCATTAATTTATTGAGAGATTCGAAAAATGTGAAACTTCAGCGAAGTACTTCCTCCTAATGATGAAAGGCGTAAATTTCGTTTATTCAACTGCATGCGGCTGCTTAAACTTCAAAATCGCAAAGAAATCGAGACTAGATTTGCCTGAAATTTCATGTTTCATGTGCATGCACAATAAGGCATCCACATCAAAAACAAATAATGTTTGCTCGCTTTGAAGCATGGTTGCCTCGTATACTGTTGGTTTTTCTTGTAAAACAAAAAAAAAATCAAAGCATCTCGGGCATTTCAAATTTTTTATAAAAATCAATTGTGTGTTCCTATTTCTCTCAATAACTGGTTCAATTCATCAGCTCCATTTATATAGCCAGGAAACTCGCACGTTTGATCATACTCGAACCTTCATAAATGCAGGATTCAATTTATTAATCAGTTCTAATGTTGGGCTAGTTTCATTTTTCCCGGGATGAGAACCACACATCATTTACGCATCGATGGCTTCCATCGGCTTTCAGGAAATAAAAACGAGCCACAAGCAATGCGATTTTCGTCATCTGTGATACTGTGAACTGCAGAGCTCATCACCCATGACGATGCTAAAAAATATAATCCAACCGAACATTACCAATAATGCGAAAGAAATATTTTGATGAAACTCCCGCACGCTACGGTCTGGAAATTATGTCCTCGGTCAATATTCTTTTAATAATCTGGTTTGGTCATATTTTGCTTGTGAAAAATTCAAAGGCTTGCGGACGAGTCTAAAAATTCCGTCATGTGATTAATCATTTCGTTCTACAATCTACATAGATGTGCATTGTTAATTTATCAATAACGCGGCCAGAATAAGATGTACAGTGAGACCCCAAGATGTGGACATGATTGGTGCATCAAGAGTGTCACTGAGTCAAAATGTCCCTAAGTCAAGTCTTATTTTCCCTTAGACTTATGAATTATATAATTTTTAACTGGTGTTTTATGGATAAAATACTCACCATAATTCCATAAAAATAAAAATTGTCTCCCAATTTAAACTGATTCAATCAATATATTTCAACACAATATGGACATTTTGGGAATTGAATACTGATACCTCTGTACAGTGCACATAAATGTTGGCATTTGCTGTGAAAACAGTATTCAAGTGAAACAAGAGAAGGAAGTCCCTCTATGATGGAGGTGATTTTTTTAAATTAGCTAAATGAATGGTAAATTGGTGGTATAAATGCCCAACAACTTTTCTTACATCAATTTTAGGGTTGGAAATATCTGTTTCTTGTAATTTGGCCTGAAACTTATCTGCAATTTCATCACAAAATGTTCCTATGTTGAGTTGGTGTCCACATGTGCATTTTTTATTAATTTTGTATGGGAAAATAAGTGTCCCTATGTCGAATTGTCCGCATGTAGAGGTGTCTGGATATGTGGGGGTCTCACTGTACATGAAGAGCATCCCATATATTCTATAGGTCTTTTCGGTCTCTCATATGCATACACTGTCCGTCCAAGTGCATGATTCAGCTGCTTTTGTAGAGAAAGCTCTTCACTTTCTGAACCCCCTTGGTGTAAAATGCGTGCGTTACGTTATAAGCTTGTGAATGAGCCAGGCAGCAAGGTCATGAATATTCTGCCTCGCTGACGCGGAGTAAAGAGTACCTTACAGTCCCTGGGGCACTTTGCTCCTGCAACTTGTTAACCCCGGGTCAGGTCAGGAACTCTGGACCCCCGCTCAATAATTTACCTCATCTGCGCGCTTCATTCAGGCTTTTCTTGCGCTCTGCTCTCTGTGTGTGTGCAGCCATGCTGATGAACACTATTCTAACGGGAGAATAAACCTTGAGCTAATGTACTGTATTTCCTCTCTTTAAACTGCGTGTGCTGATATTTTTAGATTCATTATTTTCAATTACTTTCTCATCAGCGGCAAAACAAAAGGAGTGGAGCAAGGATGGCATTTTTTGTACTATTTTTATAGTATTGTAGAGTTTTTGGAGTGGTTCAATTTTCTTCCATGCTGTATACACACCTTGTTAAAAGTAACAGATTGATAGTGGATTGACTAAAAAATTGGACACCCCTTTTCGGTTGATTTTCTACACGAAAGAAATAAGGAGAAAAAAAGCAGAGAAAGACCACGTGAAGAGAGACGCCCTGCATAAATTTTAACACTATTCTAACGAGAGAATAAGTCCTGAGCTAATGTATATTTCCTTTTTAAAAAGTGCGTGGGCAAATATTTTGGATTAATTATTTTCGCGTTTTTTCTCATAATCAGAGGGAAAAAAGGGCAGCCTTTGTGTGTGAGAAATTCATGATCGCAGTTGATACAGGTGGTACCTCGCAATTCGACCCTATAATCCATCGCCGGACTAGGGTCGAAGTGCGAAAAACTTTGTAAAATTGATAAATATCAGCAAAGAAATGCCAAAAAAGTGACCAAATCAGGTCAAATTCTGGGGCAGAGGTCGAATTATAAGTCGAATTGCGGGAGGTGGAATTGCGAGGTACTATTTGCACGTTGAACTTCCCGAAGGTTTTAAAATATAACTAGGTGCTCAAAGATTCCTTTTTAAAGTTTTCAAACTTGAATATTTGTATGATGAAACTTAGCTTTTCAAACAGTTCAGACGTGGCATGGGTCTTGAAAGAGAAAAAGTGAGACAAGCTGGAAACGGAATATTAGAGCAACAATGGTATTTTGTATTATTCTGCACAGCAGTACTGCGTAATAATACAGTTTGTAAGATGGTTTAATTTATTCCGATGCACACTCCTTATTTTTAAAAATTGCGATTTGATTGCGGATTGACTTGGTTGAATTTACAAAAAATTATCCACCCCTTTGAGATGAGTTTTTCAACGTTCGAAATGAGAACGAAAAACGCCGCAGAGAAAAACCGCGTGAATGAACACGCCGTTCATGAAGGCAATAATAAGTCGGAGAAGAGGCTTAGAGTACTGTAGAGTGCTGTATTAAACACGACCTTCCCCTAAATGTCAAGCAACTCAAAAACGGGAATGCTTTTGTAGTTCACCCGGAATGTACATTTTATCAAGTTCTCCATGAGTGCGAGTTTTCTAGCTCGCGAGGGACTTTCTGCATGTTCCGCAATTGAATTTCACCTTATGCAAATGTTATGCATGACTGCTGCAGACTGACATTTTCGTGCAGCACGAAATTGAGGGAAAAATCCTTCCTTTTTCTGATTCCGAATTCGGGATGAAGACAAATGAAAAGGAAACAGCCTCATTAGGTCATTCTTGGTTACTGGCCTTATTTCCTGGATTCTCAGATTACATTTTAAAAAAGAAAAGACGTGACGAAATAACGCCAACTTCAGGCGTGACGCCGCATGAATGAAACCCCTACCCATTCGATTTTGCTTGTGCATCTTGAGAGCGACATCTGTGTAATGCTTGGTTCATAATTTATTCTCGTTGTGACGTTGTTTTTAGGAAGGTGTGGCGTGAACTTGTATTTTCAGATGTGGAAGTCGATGCTCCCCTCACAAACGTTTGCTCGAAGTCTGACCCAACCACATCCACCCGACCGGACGATGCCTAACGTCCAGATACTCGTTTATCTGTACGTCCTGCTTCCGGATGAGTCTCCTTAGCCGTTAGCAGTTTTATAGATTTTTTCTGTTTGAAAAAAAAACAGGGTTTGGCCTATTGGACTGCTACGCGTCCTACTTCCTAAAGAGTCACCTTCGCTTCTAGCTGATTTATAGTTTTTTTTTTCTGTCTGGAAAAATAGGTTTTACCCTATTGGGCTACAATACAATAGCTTTCATTTGAATTTTCTTTTCTTTTTTGTTTTTGCTGCGGAGGTACTACAGTACTCTGAAAACGATGATAAATTTAAAAAACGCTTTTCGCCGCATCGAAGAGATATATTTGTCAGAAATAGTATTCCATTACTGATCATTAAAATTAAATTCCTCATCATTCTCACCATTTGTGACTGGGAAAACGCGACCATCCTTTTGTGGATTCATGTTCAAATTTTTACGTGATTTCCATCCCTGGGTTTTTTTCTACTTTTTTGTTTGAAGTTGGTTAACTTACGGTTGTATGTGTTCCAATGATCTAATTGAGCCTGTTTCTCCTGGCCCGCTGGCAAAATCAAACCTGACTCGATGTTGTAGCATTCGTTTCATAAAGATCAGTATGATACATGTATGCAGTTCATGTATTTTTATGTTGAAGTCGGTAGATTGTTTTATACGATCGGATTAAACCGTGCAGCTCCAACATTGAATTCAAAGACATAACTTGATGCTTCAACGTTTTTTTTTTTATTGTCTGACCGGAATACCGGATGCATTTTCGTTAAAGGGATAATGAAGGCTCGTTTTGTTTGAAAATTTGCAGATGGACACAATGGCAGAGACTACGAATGCGATTATTGTCAACAATTCCTAGCAGGAATTCCTGGAGTTCTGGGTAGCAGCGTTTCTTAGGAGCACAAGGTGGGACTACGAGAGTCCAAGTCAAATTTTTTTTAGGCTTCGAGGTGTGACCTCTAGACGGAACTCGTCGCAAACTTGTGATCACGTTCGGGTCAACCTCATCCAGGAGACGGCTAAGAGAATCAGACCCCACCCCCCTCCTCTTGTGGCCTTCCTGGAGGAATTTCTGTACAGTAATCTATTTCTTGACATGCTTAGAACAATTTCTAGAGCTTATTTCGAATTGAAGAATTTTCCTGTATGTAGAAAAAATCTGCTATACAAAGAGATTATTCCTGCTATCTTTTGCTTCCCCGAACTATACAGTAATATTCAAAAAACCGTTTCCAGGTTTCAGATTTTTAAATTTGAAAACTCGCGCTCGTGCTTTAATTTAAATTTTCGAGAAATCTTGTTTTATTTTGAATGCACAGATCGGCTGTTTCGGCGGACTTGCGCAGCCACTTCTGTGTTTCAGTTCGGCATCAAAATTATCCAAGTTCGCTTTTTTTTTTTTTTTTTTGCGTGATGAAGTCAGTCGAGTTTTCTGCATTAGGGAAACAAGCTGTACTGTGCTTAGAGAAGCAGTCGTTCATTCTTCACTCAAACACTCACACGTATAGAAAAAGTAAATAGAACAAGCGAAAATTGCATTTACAAAACTTTTTCGCCATCTTTCAGTTTTAAAATTTAACCTTTCTTAGAACAACACTTAAGCCTCTTACACGAAACCGGACTTCTAAACTTACCTCAGCCTTTGAGCCTTAACTTGATGCCCTGGAAAAGAGTCTTTCTTTGGAACTACTCTTACACAACAAAGATTTCGGTTTTTTATACTCTGGAGTCTGGAGTTATTGATGATTTGCTTTTCTGCTTCTGTCTCTGCTTACGAAAAAGAAAAGAGCTTGTCTCATTTTCTTTAATATTTCTCTTGCTCCTACGCTGGGGAAGACTCCTGAAATCATATATATTTCCTGAACCTCCACTTCGCTGTTGTATTTTTTTCTTGTAAAAAACACTTCCAAGGTATAGTATGCGTTTTTTGTGTGTTCATCAATGTTTATGAATATTTGCAGCTCATAACATATGATAAAATTGCATTGTTGTAAGAAAATGTGTAACACAGACATATATTACGGAGAAGCGCTTCTATCGACGATATTAGTTAAAGTTTTAAATTTTGAAGGATTCATTTAAATTAGGTGAGGCAAAACTTGACTCTGCAGTGCAAAATTGGAAAAGTAGGTGCTACGATGAGCATACCCTGTGAAATTTCTAGCGCATACGCGAAACTCGAAAGTAGTTATTTCCACGAGACAATTCGACGATACCAACCTGACATCTACCGTACTATCGAAAAAGTTGGTTTTCGCTGTTGAGAAAATGTTCAGATCCAATATTGGCTATCATAGCTGGCCTTTTCAAGAGTTGAATTATCTTCTTTTGAGTCACACTTTGACCTTGGTTTTAGAGTGTTAGGGAAAATTTAAGCTAATGAGTGCACCTGACCTTGGATCAAATGTGCTTCCTTTTCAATTATACTCAAAATCCCTCCGCACGATTACATTTTTCATCCCGCGGCCAACAATGGAAGATCATACAATTCTCACGCGTATCTGCAATTAGATGTTTTTTTGTAGGAGTTACCGTATTTAGATTTTTTTCTTGGAACAAAAGATAAATGCATTTAAAGCCCTCGAATTAATAAAGGCCGTGCATCAGTCGAGTCCTGTAATTTGAGTTAAATTTTTGCGAGGATTTTGTTCGTGTGGTCGATCAGAGTCATCTGATGCAACTGTTCAAATGAATAAATAAAACTCCCAAAAGTTTTCTTGAAGATTTTGGAACATCCACGTCATACACATCGCTATTCAAACACATTTTCTAAATAATATTTTTGGAATACATTCTAAGCAGTGTTGCCAATAATTGAAGCTGCTTCTTGACGACGTTTCCACGTGAAAAATTCTGTGATATTTTAATAGCTCTTATCGTCCGGTTCAAACTTCAAATCAAGAGGAAAATTTGTGTGAGCAAATGAAGATTTTTATTTAACCATATAAAATTTTCTTAAATTAAAATTGCATGGTCGAGCCATCTTAATATATTCGACCTGTTTCATCACATAAGTTCTGTGAGTAGGTGTCGTGTGCTCAACTACAGGTTCATGCGGTTTTAAAATGCAGAAATTAATCATGAATATGATCACCTCGCAGTGTAAAACACACTCAAGAACATTGAGTATGCATATAATTCTTCTGGAACCGTTAAAATCTCTGGAGATTTTATTGCACAAAATTCGAAGATTGCATTTCATTCTAGTGCCAATAAATATTTATTATAAATGTCGTCTTCAACTTATTACTATTTTTTCAGCCCAGAAGGCGGAATGGGGAAAGGCGAAACCAAGTGCCACTGAGGAGTTCAAACAAGAGTACACAACAGATGGCGCCATCGACCGAGTTTCGAATTAGCGTCTAAGTTCTCGAAGTTCTCTTGTAGCAACCACTGAGTGGAGTCTTCAAAAATAGAAACAAACAGAATCACAAGATTCTAATCTTTGTGGACTATGAAACGCAAATTTTGATTGATTCAGCTCTTTTGGTAACA